AAAAATAACATTACATTTTTCATGCATATACTTCAATTTTGAGTAGTGGTTTGTGACACATATTTGACTGAAACCTAAAACAAAACATCAAATTGTTTTATATTTTATTATTACTCGGGATTTATATGAGTCATTTATAAAGTCTTTATGTTTAAGTTCACTGCTGATCTAACCCTGACACACCCTTATTCTGTGATTGAGCAACATTTGATCTTAACTGCAGCTGATTCAGCAACAATGTTTGAGGTTTTATTTGGACCAGAAACTCTCTGAAGATCACAAATATATGACGGAACATTTATAAGTAAACTTTGTTAAACAAAATATGGTCTTTTAGTCACAGTTTACTGTAAATTATGTAATAAAGCTATATTTGTGACACTTTCAGATTAATGATTGAAGAAGTTCCTCATAAATCATCTGAGTCAGGAGTCCACCAGTCTGGAACTGGTCCACGGTGCCCTCAGTGTGGCCCTTTGGGTTAAATCACGTAACAACGGCCCTTTTCTTCCAGCTGAATGACTTTATGAAACTTTCCCCTGATAAAAGTCAAATAAAACCTGTGTGAATCTAACATCAGGAAACAGCTTTGTCTCCAGCAGGGGACATGTTGTCCTCAGAGACAAATGTCTGCAGGAAAGGACAACTAAAGGTCATAAACTTCATGAAATAAAGAGTTAAAATGATCTTTTCTGGCTGTTTTTATGAGTAAACTTGACTGATCAAATATTTGGGAAACATTTGTTTCTGTAATCAGCTCTGTTGCTGCTGCAACTATCATTTTATTCAACTAATCTGGTCTTTTGTGTTGCATTTTGACAACGTTTCCCGCCTTTTGTCAACCCTCACGTAGTGTGAGTTATGAAGAAATGTGTGAGTCGAGGCTGAAATGGATCATTTCCTGACACGTTCCTCTCTGAGGGATCTCTGCGCTGATTGGTCCGTTCAGCTGTCAGTCAGGAAGATACCTGCGTCAGCTGGAGGTCCAACTTTACGGCTCCAGCTGGCTGGTGACAGCCAAAGACAAGAAAAATATCAAGACCTATCACTCTGCAGAAGATTTAGATTTTTTATTTTAAAATACATTTAATTGGAAAATAAAGTCAGTCATATATATTTTATCAGAACAATTTCTCCTGTGACTGTTTTTAGCTGTAAACACATGGATATTTAACAAATATTAGCTCAGATTTTTTGTTTATTCTAAAAAAATATAATAAAATTAAATAAAAGTTGCCAGATGTTGACTTTATGGAAGCTTTATTTTTGCAAAGTTGTAGTGTTTTTTTTTTTTGAATAATTTACAGATCCCTTCAGTCACCACACTGTGGTGCGTTCAGGTGCAATTGTTTTTCCCAGATATTGTTTTTCTTTTTTGTTTTTTTACTTTTTCGTCGTGGAAACTGTCAGACAAGCTGACATATTTTATTTATCGCAGTCACTCTAGTTTGTAAAAAAAAATGTTTGCAGTTCTTTAGGAGCATCAGTGGTGAGGAGGAGAATATTTGGAGTCATCTTGCCTAATGGACGATCTTTGAGGAGGAGGTTTGTCTGTGGGGGGTGTGGGGGGTGGTAACCACAGCAGTCCTCCTCCTGTTGTCTCCTCCTGTCTTCCACAGGGTCTTGTCCTCCTGCCGGTGGACTTGCTGAAGACTTTACTTTGCAGACAGGTGTTGGAGACCCCCGCGCGTCCTCCCCCCCACGGAGACAGAAAGGGCAAAGATGACCGGACCCACGGCACCGAGGCGGCAGGACACCCGGAAATTTGTGGAGAACCTGTCCGGAGCCGGTAAATCCATCGCGGTGCTGACCAGCGGAGGAGATGCTCAAGGTAACATTTTGTTCTCTTCTGGTCCTGCTGTCCCTCAGAGGGGCTGGGGGGGCTCACTCTGCTCTCACTGGACAGGGTTCGTCATGTGTCAGCTTGACTTGAAACCTCAGAACCAGACTTGTTTGTCGTGTCTGATGTTTTTTTTTTAAACTTTTATTTTTCTTAGATGTTAAAAGAAAAAAAGATCTGTCCGATAATGGATGCGTGGGGTTAAGCTTGCGTAAAATGCGCACTGACGGCAAGGAGCGACCAAAAAATAAAAAAATCGAAGTGCGGCTAAAAAAAAATCATCGTGTCACACGTAGAAGTAAGGCTTTAAAGTGTGGCCTTCACGTTCCAATAAAATCTTTGTTTTCCTGTTGGTGACAGGAGTTATTACCGCGCTGTTGCCGGTGATTACGCAACAGTCCCGACGCTGCGGCATTATTATAGTTCTGCGCSGTTTGATAAGTTCTGATGAGGGATTCTGGTATGCAGACACGTTCAGGCTGGAGCTGAGGAGCTGCTGCAGAATCAACAAGTCCATCATGAAGAACTCTTTATTATTTTATTTCCTTTTTTACGCAGTCACTTCCCAGCATGTCACCTGTTCCCGCACGGATGGCGCATCTCTGAGTGCGCGCGCCCCTCCTGAGGCAGACCACCCAAATTTATCAACGGTTTATTCTTCTCATAGGCGACATGGTTTAATTCCCCTGCAACTTCCTAACATATTTTCACCGAATCATTAGCTGATTAATAAAAAAAAATTTCTGAGCGAATAAAAGTTTTTATTTTTTGGTTCATAAAATAATTCTGTTAAGACTTCCTGTCGGAGTGAAGGCTCCTGTTTTTTTCTCCTCGCTGTTGTAGTCTGTTACATCACAGAGGCTGAGTCACGACAGGACCAGAGTCAAAGACATTGAATTAAAATAACAAATATCCGGTTGATCCCTTCAAAATAAAACTAAATCTCTGCGTTTTGCGTTTATTTGTTTTTATTTTGAAGGAGGGTGGTATGAACTTCCTGTAACCTTCAGTGATTTTACTTTTCCTGTCAGTGAAGGTCAAGCTGCTACATGCAGAGGGCTTTTATTTTGTACAGAAAGGATCAGATAAAAAGAAACACACGGAGAAATTTAGATTTAAGCTCAAGTGTTGAAATAAAGTTTTGTTTTGTGCAAAGATCTCATTAGAAGAGGAAAATGAAAACCAATAGTCGATACAAATCCCCTCAGGGGTGTCATCAATCCACTAATGGTGTCTCTGTGTGCACGTTGCACCTAAAGCATCATTAATGTGTGCGTTTGTGTGTTTGTGTGTGTGTGTGTGTGTGTTTTACTGGCACCACAAACACATAGAACATAGTGTACTCTGCCATCCATCACACACATGCACACATGAAACACAGCTATTGTTGGCTCCCAGGCTGTTACCCAACACCGCGCGCCCTATAGGTTTGTTTTTGGTTGTGGAGGGAAAAGCTTCTTCACGGCGTCATACGTCCGCCTGGCATCGCAGCCGACCTTTGTTTTAACACGCTCCTTGCGGCAGCAGCTGTGGATTTAATTATAACTCTGCCTCTGGAGTGGAAATGAGCCGAACTCATCAGGCTCATCTCAGAGGACCGAGGTCTGACCTCGTGACAACAAAGTATACGGGGCACCAAAATAAAAAGTTTAAAAAAAWGTCATTATTCAGCTTATTGTTCTTACATTTAGCTCATTTCTACTAAATATTAAATTTAAATGTTAAAAATAATAAATCCTAAATCTAAATGTTTAAATCTAAATGTAAAAGTTAAACCTTAAATGTTGAAGTTCACATTTAGGTATTTTGTAAAGGAACACAGCCTTTGCTGTTGGCGCTCGGCTCATGTTATGATGTCATCATCCTGAGACAATAGCAACCGCTAGCTCCAACGCAGCTAAAGCTTCCCTACAAGACATCAAACTTGCAGTTATGGCTGGTGTCTGAGCTGCACCTCAACCTGCTGGACCATGGATCACCCAGATTGGTTTTATGAACATATTTGGACCAAACAGTGAGTCCCATCTATAGAAGGATCACACTTCTGAGTCTCCCTGGTAAAGTCAGGGGTCCTGGAGAGGAGGGTCTGTCAAATAGTCGAATCTCGGATTCAGGAAGAGCAGTGTGGTTTTCATCCTGGTCGTGGAACAGCGGACCAGCTCTACACCATCAGCAGGGTCCTGGAGGGTGCATGAGAGTTCAACCAACTAGTCTACATGTGTTTTATGGACTTGGAGAAGGTGTTCCCTCATCCCTTGAGGACTCCTGTGGGGGATACTCCGGGAGTATGGGGTATTAGACCCTTTAGGTCCCTGTATGACCGGTGCCAGAGCTTGGTCCACATTACCAGTAGTAAGTCGGACTTGTTTCTGTGAGAGTTGTACTTCGCCAAGGTTGCCCTTTGTCACAGATTCTGTTCATAACTTTCATGGACAGAATTTCTAGGAGCAGCCGAGGTGTTGAGGGGATCCTTTTTGGTGACCTTAGGATCACATCTCTGCTTTTTGTGGATGATGTGGTCCTGTTGGCTTCATCAGATCCTGATCTCCAGCTCTCACTGGAGCGGTTCACAGATGGGATGAGGATCAGTGCCTCCAAATCCCAGACCATGGTCTCCAAATCCCAGACCATGGTCTCCAAATCCCAGACCATGGTCTCCAAATCCCAGACCATGGTCTC